TAAATAACTTTTTTTTAAAATCGTTTTAAGATTGAATTTTTTTTAACTTAACACCACTAAGCACCAAGTATATATTCATATTAATAACATTATATTATTATTATTAGGTTGGTATTTTTGTATCATTGCTCTCTGCAAATCACATGCTATGCACAGTACACAGGTACACATGCACAATCTCACTTCATTAAGATCCATATTGTGAAATAATTAACCCCAATTAACACCCCCCAACGGCTCTATTTTCTTCTCTCCCACAAATCACAATCATTTCATTTCAAATTTCAATTGGTTCCCGCAACGGTCCAATTTCAACAACATTCTCTCACAATAAAATCACCAAAATTCACAATCATATGTCATTCTGAATTTCTAAATTTTCTTAGCTAGCTCTGTCTCCACGCGTTATGGATGTGGACGCTGCCATAGGGGATGATGCAAAGAAGGTTCAGCACGTGACCAAGAAAAGTTCCGATGAACTGCTGAGGAAGTTTGCTGAAGTGGGTGGTTCTAGCAATGCCCCAAAGAGGAAAAAGAAGAGGGACAGTGGCGGTGGTGGCAGCGCCGCTTTCGTGGAACGGAGGTGGCTTCTTCCGGCAGAGCGGAAGACGGCGTTGCTCCAGCGGGTTGGGATTGGTAGAGCTCACGTGACGAGGACAAGGGATTTCAGAAACAAGTTGCTGTTGGGAACTCTTGAGAAGGTTAGGATTCAAATTTTTTACTGACATAATATTATTTTAAATTTTTTTTACTAAAATAACATCCGTGCTAATTTATTTATAAAACTAGCATTGTTTACTGTTTAAACTTAGAATTTGGTTTCCGGAGAACCGAATTCTGAGCTTATTCATTGCAAGTCGTGGTCATTTTTGCTGCAGGAATTCGGTTCTTAGAGAACCGAATTCTGAGCAGTGTTATATATATATATATTATTTTATTTTATTTTTTGCGTTTTAGGTTTAGGTCATGTGTTAATTTTGCATCTGGAACGACTCGTTCTTAAGCCAGAATGACCCGTTTTGCTTGCACTCATCGTGTGTTAATTTTGCATCTGGAATGACCCGTTCTTAAACTAGAACGAGCCGTTCTTAAACTAGAACGGCCGTTCTAGAGTTGAGTTTTAACTCTTAACCTTAATGTTGGAAAGACCCGTTCCAAACTAGGGTTTTAGGCCTTTTTAGTAGTTTGGAACGGGCCGTTCTGGTTTTGGAACGGCCCGTTCTGGGCTATTGATGCGTGGGCCCAAGGAATCCAATGCTTCTATTATAAATACGCCCTCTACCCTTCATTCTCTTCATTCACCTTCACCTTACCTTCACTCCTTCATTCGTTCCCTCTACCCCTACTAAGTCTTTCCTCTGAATCACGTTCATTTTCTTTCAACCCTTCATAAAATGACTTCTCCAATCTACGTTATTGTTCACTCAGATGGTTTCATTAACCAATGTCCGAATGAAGGAGTCACCTTCTCCTCCCCATCTGCAAAATTAGTTCGTATTTAGAGGGGAATTACTCTAAAAGGCTACAGAGAGTCATCCACACAAAGTTACACCAACAAGATTCTGAGAGGGTGGCTAGCATACAGTTTTGCTACCCTATTAGACTTGGCCCAGGGGTTAGTAACTACACTTGTGTTGAGTCGACTGATGATGAAGACATTGAGACATTTTTCAATGTTCACGATTCTAATGAACTTCAATCAGGTATTAAATTATATGCTACTTTTACTACAATTGAATCACATCCACCACAAGTTTCACCTTCACTTTCACCTTATGAAATTTACCAAAGTTACCGAAACACTAACCCATCTGGCCCTTCTTATGATATTCCCTCCGACCACGACATTGAGTCATACACACAACTTTTAACTTGTCCATTCATGGACCTTAATCAAATACCTTTTCAGCCATTTGACCAAGCTACACCTTCTGCCTCTCAACCCAATGTTCAAACTAACATCGAAGATCATCTTCTTGTTGGTCTCCCAACAGAAAATGTCTTTGATCCTTTTAGTGAGGACACAATCCTCTCTGAACATCAAGATGATGATGAAGAAGAAAGCCTCCCAGTTCCAAATAATCCACCACTAGAACCAGTACCCATACACAACCCACCTCCACACTTTTTAGACTTTCCTAATGAAATCCAACAAGACACTGAGTATAGCCATTTGTTGGAACGTGAAATGGTTGTGTATCCACTTGGAACACTATATGTTGGCCAACGTTTCCAAACAAAAGAACAAATGCAAGACGCCATAAACAAATTTCACATTGTCAACCATTGCACTTACAAGGTCTACTAGGCTTCTCATGGAATGCATTCACCACGACTGTGCCTAGAGATGTCGTGCTATATTGCGCACCAGGGAACAACATTGGGAAATCATGATCCTTAAAGGCCCCCACCATGTGTTTCCCCACTCATCTCCCAAGATCATAATAAATTGGGATCAAAAATGATTTCTCAAACCATTCGTGAAATTATTAAGCTTGATCCATCCACACCCATTTCAACCATCATAGCCCACATCAAGTTGACCATGGGTTATACAATCAGTTACAGAAAGGGATGGCTGGCCAAGCAACATGCCATTGAAAACATCTTTGGAAACTAGGAGGAATCGTACAATAATTTACCAGGTATGTTGCAAGCAATGCAAATGTATGTTCCAGGCTTTATTTGGAAATTAAATACGTAACCGGCTTACCAAAGTGGCTTATTGGACGAGGGGAGTGTTATATTCAAAAGGTTATTTTGGACCTTTAAACCATGTATTGATGGTTTTGCCTTCTACAAACCAATTGTTCAAGTCGATGGAACCTTTTTATATAGGAAATACAAAGGTACGCTATTGGTCGCAGTTGCACAAGATGGACGCAACAACATAATTCCTATTGCATTTGCTGTTGTTGAAGGTGAAACTAGCGATGCATGATTTTTTTTTCTTAAGAACTTAAGGCGGTATGTAACACCGCAAGACGGGTTGTGCCTAATTCTGATCGTCATGAGGCTATTCAAAGTGCATACTCAAGAAATGGAAGTTGTTGGACAGAAAACAATTCTGTCCATGTCTATTGTATTCGACGCATTGCACAAAACTTCATGCAACGATTCAAAAATGTAGCACTAAAGAAGGATGTCGTCAACATGGGTAATTTTATCATTACTTTTTTTTAAACATTTGATAATTAGTTTTCATTATTTAATTATGTTTTCTCTCCAGCCTATGGGATGACTGAACCTAGATTCTTTTACTATTACAACATAGTAAGAGATACTAATGTTGAAGCAGCCCAATGGTTAGACAACATTCCTAAGGAAAAATGGACACTGACATGGGACAATGGACGACGTTGGGGACACATGACAACAAACCTAGCTAAGTCTATTAATTTCGTATTGAAGAAAACATGAAATCTGCCAATTTGTTCCATGGTAATGGCCACATACACTCGTTGCAACAAGTTCTTTGTTCAAAGAGGCAGGGAAGTGGATGCAATGATTAATGCTGGACATGTCTACTCAGAAATTGCAAGTAAAACTGTTCAAGATGTACAGTCCAAGGTAAATACTCATAGAGTTATCACCTTTGACAGATCAAACACTAGATTTCTAGTGGAAGAAACACAACATCCGAGAGAAGTTCGACCCTCTAGGAGATTTACTGTAAGGCTGGATGAAATGTGGTGTGATTGTGGCAAGTTCCAGAAAGTTCAAATCCCTTGCTCGCATGTACTCGCTTCATGCTTACAGGCACATCACGACTATCAAACCTACATATCTCCCATATATACCTTACAACAAGTTGCAAAGGTATACAAGGAGAGTTTGGAGAGCTCCGACATGAAGATTATTGGCCTACTTACACTGGTCCAACTTTGTGGCCAAATCCAAAACTCAAGAGAACTTTTAAGGGTCGACCAAAGTCCAGCAGGATTAGAACAAAGATGGACATTAGAGAAGAATATAATCGTGTAAAAAATTGTTCCTATTGTCACACCCTTGGTCACACTAGGGAGATGTCCAAATATTGGTCATGGATTTAGTTCCCGCCACCATTGATCTTTATTGTTATAATGAGTTTTAATAAATTTAATTAGTTATATTTATAATGTTAATAAATAATAAATTTAATTAGTTATATTTATAATAAATATTATATTTAATAAATTATATTTATAATGAATTTTTTTTTGTTAAATTGAAATTCAATAAATAATAATTATAATAAGTTATATAATAATGTATAATTATAACAGTTTAAAAATTTAATAATGCACCATGTTAATAATTTCTAATAATTATAATATATAATTTAATAATTTATAATGAAAATAAATTTAAAAGTAAAAATGTATAACATTAAAATTCATATTACATTGATAAAGAGACATATTGCATTAAAAGTAAAAAAAGGATAACATTAAGATAGAGTGAATTATATAAGCTTTTTAATTTCTGTAATGGTGTCCAGTTCCACAACGAGGGCGACGTCTGTTACGGCCTGGATTACGTCGTGGAGGTTGTTGCTCAGAAGGATTTGGTTCATCATCAAGCACTGGTTGTTGAAATGCTGCTAAAGAACTACCATGTTTATTAGCGAATTCCGGTTGGTAAAGAGATTGCATGTATGATTGTGCTGAAGTTGGAGTTCTAAAATCTACTCCAAATAAATTTGTAAAAAAATCCTCTGAAGTTGTTGCAAACGAATGTCTTCGGTTAATTATGTTTTCTTGTGGGGTGATGTTGTGTGGAGGATTTGATACATGCTAATGAGTCTCTTCATACGATCTCATGGAAGTTGCACAAGTTTCAAATGTTGTGGAAGTCCTTCGTTATTGATGGGTCCTTGGATCTTGTAGTAGTCGTGGCACAGATAGGAAATAAATGGAATTGGCCATGTACCATTTCATGTATTCTCGTGTGTGAAACAATGGGCCTTGCATTGGATGACCCATTAATGTGTGCTCATGTCTATTGTTCCATATGTCGATTCATTGAGCATGTCTTGTAACCCAATTTTCATCTTGTCTTCCCCTCATGTCAATTTTGTGTAGGTTATCCAAATTATTGGCTGGTGAAGGGACATCCTGGAAGAGACAAAATTGTAATTTCACTCTATCAGATTGGTGCCATTCAACAATTGCAAAACAAATGATGGGGGTACATGATGTACATAGTTGGGCATCTATATATGCTTGCATGGGTATTGTTGTTTGCAAGACTTGATATGGAGCCCATAAAAACTACAAAAAATTTTAAACTTTGTTAGTTAAGATAATATGCTAAACAAAAGAAAATAAGAAACAAATTAAACTTTGTTTTGAAGAGTTACCTGATCAGCCTGAATGTGATCATACCTTGATCTGTATCTGACAACATCATTATGAGGTACACTTTAAAAGTTCAGTACTCTACCCCCGCTCCATTTACAGACCAAATGGCATGTTGGTGGTACTCTAGAAATAGGTGCAATATATGGCATGCGATGCCATGCCCAGGACTGTAACAAAGATGCACAACCACCCATTGTTTTGCTGGTAACATTTGTGGCATTACACATTTCCCTGTATAACATAGCCAAACAAGAAGACCCCCAACTATATCGTCTTGTTCTTCTAAGATTTATTAATAAAGATAAATACATAAGATGTACCTTATTGCCTATTTTGTTAGGCATCAAAACACCTCCTATTAAACCTAATACATATGTCCTACAATGTGCATGAAGTTCTTCTTGAGATGGTTCCTCTGGTAATTCCAACATATTTTCTCTCAACCACTTTAGCTTGATCATAGAGCCAATTAGTGACTCTCCTTTAAGTGGCACGATTCCAAGATACGTGGAACATATATCCTCCCAGTCATATAATGTTGGGCCAATGACTGGTAAACCATCAACTCTTAGGCCAAGTTGAAGTGCAACATCCTCCAGTGTTATCGTGCACTCCCCTATTGGAAAATGGAAGGTGTGAGTCTCAGGTCTCCATCTTTCAACCAAAGTTGTGACCAATGCGTGATCCATCTTGAGATGTCTAAGGTTTGCAAGCCCAGAAAAACCAACTTCCTCTAGTATAGGAACAATTAGAGGGTGGGGTTTTGACATTGAATGATAGTAAGAGTAAATAATATTATCAGTCTCCTGCAATGATTAACAAAATTAGTACTATTATGTGTTAGAATTTCATTAAAATTTAAAGCAAATAACGATGGTTTTCAATGAACTTCTAACACATATAGTACTAATTTTGTTAATCATTGCAGGAGACTGATAATATTATTTACTCTTACTGTCATTCAATGCTAGAAACCCACCCTCTAATTATTTCTATACTAGAGGAAGTTGGTTTTTCTGGGGTTGCAAACCTCTAAATTAATAAAATAATAGAGTTTAAACATTCTTCTTTGATAATGTCTTCTTTCAAAAATGTATGAAGAATTTCTTTATTTCATAGTGTCTTCAGGACTACTATAATGTCTTCAAGACTACTTTGATTCATAATAATGTAAACAATATAAATATTTGATAAAGTTCTTATTATAAAAGATGAATAACTAACCTTAAAATATTTGTCTTGAAAAATATGACCTTCTTGAAAAAAAATCTTCACAGCTTTCTCTTGTAATTACAAGACCAATAGATAAAAGACTATCGTGCTGATAACGTGTTATAAAAAGAAGAAAAAGTATAGAGAAGAAATAAGACAGTATAAGATAGAGAAAAAATTCTGACTGGTGTATTATCTTTAGGAGAGAAGTAACCTATTTATAAGTACATGTGGTAACTGAACAATTACACAATAAAGGAAATAATACATAACGGAAATATAAATGGTAATGATTGATAATGAATATTGACATCCACTAATTAAGCCACTAATTATTATTCATAACATGAGCTATATTTTATACGTATTTTTAATAAAATAAAAATATAAATATGGATACGACATTGTTCATAATACCCATTCAGTAAAAACTTTAGAATTACAGGATTAGAGAAATGGGTCGCTTAAATTATAAAAATAAAATAAATATGAACAATGTGTAATTGTTGGGCCATTTAAGAACTTAAAAATGAAAAATAAAAAATGGAATGCTAACCTCATATGTAAATAACCTTTGGCGTAGAGAATCAGACAACGTAAGAGTTGGAAGAGGTGTTAAACAATGTAAGAGGAAGGAGAAGATAATTGTTGGATTTAGGGATATAAGAGAATTAAGACTAACAAAAATAAGTTAAAAAAAGTTATTTGAGAATATGTAAGCGAGAAGAATTTCATTAATCGAAACATAAATAACTTTTTTTTAAAATCGTTTTAAGATTGAATTTTTTTTAACTTAACACCACTAAGCACCAAGTATATATTCATATTAATAACATTATATTATTATTATTAGGTTGGTATTTTTGTATCATTGCTCTCTGCAAATCACATGCTATGCACAGTACACAGGTACACATGCACAATCTCACTTCATTAAGATCCATATTGTGAAATAATTAACCCCAATTAACACCCCCCAACGGCTCTATTTTCTTCTCTCCCACAAATCACAATCATTTCATTTCAAATTTCAATTGGTTCCCGCAACGGTCCAATTTCAACAACATTCTCTCACAATAAAATCACCAAAATTCACAATCATATGTCATTCTGAATTTCTAAATTTTCTTAGCTAGCTCTGTCTCCACGCGTTATGGATGTGGACGCTGCCATAGGGGATGATGCAAAGAAGGTTCAGCACGTGACCAAGAAAAGTTCCGATGAACTGCTGAGGAAGTTTGCTGAAGTGGGTGGTTCTAGCAATGCCCCAAAGAGGAAAAAGAAGAGGGACAGTGGCGGTGGTGGCAGCGCCGCTTTCGTGGAACGGAGGTGGCTTCTTCCGGCAGAGCGGAAGACGGCGTTGCTCCAGCGGGTTGGGATTGGTAGAGCTCACGTGACGAGGACAAGGGATTTCAGAAACAAGTTGCTGTTGGGAACTCTTGAGAAGGTTAGGATTCAAATTTTTTACTGACATAATATTATTTTAAATTTTTTTTACTAAAATAACATCCGTGCTAATTTATTTATAAAACTAGCATTGTTTACTGTTTAAACTTAGAATTTGGTTTCCGGAGAACCGAATTCTGAGCTTATTCATTGCAAGTCGTGGTCATTTTTGCTGCAGGAATTCGGTTCTTAGAGAACCGAATTCTGAGCAGTGTTATATATATATATATTATTTTATTTTATTTTTTGCGTTTTAGGTTTAGGTCATGTGTTAATTTTGCATCTGGAACGACTCGTTCTTAAGCCAGAATGACCCGTTTTGCTTGCACTCATCGTGTGTTAATTTTGC